AAGAAAATAGCCCAGGAATTTGGTGATGGGGAAATTCCAAAATTTGATGGAGCAGGTTACGACAAAGACCTGATCGAAGCTCTTGAAAGAGACATTGTATCAAGGAATCCAAGTATTCATTGGTATGATGATTTTCTCAATTCAAGTGGTTTTTTGCTAGTGTGGAAAAGAAGAGAAATTATCCTTCTTCTAACTCTTTCAATAGGGAGACAACATAATCTTCTACAGACAGGCAAAACAAGGTCTTTTGCTTTTAACAGTTTATTAATTTGATTACAATTAAACTTTTGTTGCTAATTGATATTATGTGCAGTACATCCATTATGGGTACTGCTGAAATGAACATATACTCCAGAGAACTTTAAAGATACTGCTTTGGTGTTCGCATTGTCCAAAACAATTTTTAATTAAGCAGCTCTGGGTAGCTTGAGTTGAAAATAATTTTTTCCCTGTCTTCCAAAAGAGGATTCACTTTTAGGTCACAGGATTACAGAAGTGCTCTCATGAGGCATTTACTTGCATGCTAAAAGAGCTGGTACTAAGTGAAAAGCTTTTCTATTTTTCTTGTATAAAGGTAGAAGAAATATCATTGTACGGGAATTTTATACAAGTTTCTTTACCTTCCACAGGGATGACATAGCAGATTTGGAAGAAGCCAAGAAATTATTAAGAGAAGCTGTTGTTCTTCCAATGTGGATGCCTGATTTTTTCAAAGGGATCAGAAGACCTTGGAAGGTGGGAATTTATAGCTGTAGCTCTGTGTGTCTGTGGCTCTAATGTGTGGATGCCTGTAGGAGAAGGCTAAAAAGGTAAATGGGAAAGAACAGAAATCTGTTCATGAAATCTTCTCATGACGAGTCATATAAAATGCACTGAAAGAAACACTTGTAAGTGTATGCAGCCCTTACAGTAAATAAGATTTTGTTTGTATTTACTCAGTTATATCTTGTTGATGTTATAATACTATCTATATGTCAGCCTATACATGTAAGCATATAGGGGATATTGACTGAAGCAGAAATGCTTAATAGTCAGCTCTGCATAGGATTATGGTGACCATTTGTCATCACTTCCCAGAAGAAAGCAGTCCTTGGACTGTTTTGTTTCGAATGTGCCAACTGTCTCTTGCTCAGACTGCAAGCTGCTGGCTGGAGGGAGGGGGCTAATCTGAATGATGATTTAGCTTTGCAGTTACATTTGCAGCTGGGCATAGTTGCTGCTGGATGGAGAGAAATTCAGAGTAGGAGAATGAGTCACTAGTGGGGCAACTGGAAGGATATAGGACTGAGCGGGCCTAGGCTGACAGACCAGAGGTGAGCCCAATCTGGGCCTTGCTTAGAGCTAAAAAGAAAAAGGAGGGAGGAGATTGCTGAGTGCTTCTGTTAACAGCAAACAAAATTATCTTGCTTCTGATGTGGGATGGATTGACACTTGTTTAGGAAACAACTTGTCAAACACAAGGCCTTTTTGGTTACTGAGAAAAATTACTGGGGAAAAGGAGTGTTGCAAATTGTCATTCTGAGTCTGGGCCTTGCTTAGAGCTAAAAAGAAAAAGGAGGGAGGAGATTGCTGAGTGCTTCTGTTAACAGCAAACAAAATTATCTTGCTTCTGATGTGGGATGGATTGACACTTGTTTAGGAAACAACTTGTCAAACACAAGGCCTTTTTGGTTACTGAGAAAAATTACTGGGGAAAAGGAGTGTTGCAAATTGTCATTCTGAGTCTGCAAGGCAGTGTGTAGGGATTTGCTTTGTAAGTGAGTAGTTTCTGTGGTGTAGTACGCTTATTCAGCAGTGTATGTTGGATCTTGCTTTACTAACGCTTGTACTGTGTTCTGCTGATTGGCCCTTGTGCTTCCCTGGCTTATACTTAGGACAGACCCAGCAGGAGCTGGAAGATTGCTGCTTCAGGGCTGTTCATGGAGGTTTTAGTGAGTTGCAGGGAGGGAACCCAAACCTAGAGTCAGCCCAAACCTAGCTCCAGGCTATAGGGCCTTTGGAGTTTAGAGTGCTTGTGGTCAGTACCAGTGGCCTTGAGGTTAACCTTAAGGTTAACTGAGCTATCATCATGGACAGAGCCTAGAAATTGTGGGTTACACAAGTAGGGTGAGACTGTGTCTTTTGAACAGCTTAATATCTCTCTTTTCCTCTTGACTTAGAGGAAGTTGATCAATACCTCATTATAGACTATGGGAGCCCCATCTGTCCAGTCTTCAAAATCTTGTAAGGGAGTGAAGAGCTGCTATGCATTTTTTTTTCTCCTGTTAACATGCCTAGAGGATGTAGTTGCCATCTGTCTTTAAGGCAGGTATCTCAACAGGCTGCATGAAATGTGAAAAGTGCCACTGGCACTCTCCAAGTGTTGTGGCAGTGGATAAAGGAGCAACAGCCTGGTCTTTTAAAGAGTTACAGTCTCCATCTCTTTGCGTGAGGTTATCTTTTCCTACTGAGCAGTGTCACCTCTGAAAACCAGGTGGTTGTAGACATGGAAAAAAAATTCGAAGATTATTTCCTCTCTTCTGTCTGAAATGCAAATTGATTTCTGACGAGTCCATGAAGAGTCTTCATTGTTAGCCTTTTCCCTGGTGACTTGTGAAGCTGTAACTCATGAATTTATTTTTCACACAGAACAGCATGTATTTTCCCTACTGTTGACCTCTGACTGTGCTACAAGGATGAGAAGTATTGAAGGGAAGGCTGTTTCTTGCAGTAATCAGTGTAGCAGCAGGCATTCCTTGAGCCTAGGAATTCAGGACAATAATTCACAGAAAAAGGCAGCCAAAGCTGGTTTTGGATGCTCAGACTCTCCTGAGAACAATTCCCAAGACAGCCCTCACAGTTTGTGCCTGTATTCAGAGGATGGTGCCTTGTCTGAAGGAGCCAGCTGTCTTCCCTGATTCAACACAGGTGCTGTGTAGTTGCAGCCATGGGTTTCTGAGTATCCACGGGTTTGCTCTTTCTTTCTCTCTGAACTGTTTTGTGCCAAGAAAGCCTGGTTGCTCGCTGTGCTTCCCACTGCTCTGCTAGTGATTGTTACAACAACAAGAAGTAACCCTGCAGTGATTTCATCAAAACACTTACTCCCTGCGGTGCATTTCAGCTTCTTATTGGAATACTTTGGATTAACAGAGCCTTAGAGGAAGAATAAAGAAGTCTTTGTGTTTGTCAAGGATTTTAAATAGTGAGTAAGTGGCAGCCTCCTAGTTTGCAGCGAGAAAGAGCAACTTGATCCTATGCGTTTCTGTTTGCAACCATGCACATCTTGTTTTGCTGAGAATTTGAGTTCTTTTCTTCTTTTTTTTTTTTTTTTTTTTAAACTGATATTTCTATTGTCTTTATCCCCAGAGAGCTTGGTTTTCCCCTGACTTTACACCTGGTGTGGCTGCTTTGCACCTGTGTTATGCGCATGTATAATGCCACCAGTATCACATGCAAGGTAACGCTCACTGTAATTCTTACACAGGAGGTGCAAAGCGACAGGCTTCAATTTCGGCAGTGAGCAGCATGTGTAACTGAAGCCAGAATTTGACCTTCCTTAATAATGGAGGGTTCAATCAATATCCAAAAAATGTCATTAGTCACCTGTATCACCAGGTCCTGCAGTAAACACAGTTTGTCAAGCATACAGGTCGAGTGTGATGAAAACAAATGAAGCTTGTTTTAAAATATTAAATAAACACATTTGAAACTCAGAGAGAACAGTAAGTCATCTCTGACCTGCATATCACAGGCTGGGTAATTTTTGCCCGGTCACTCCAGGGTTGTATTTGCAATATTATTATAGTATCAGTGTAACTGTGCAGCAACTCAAATCTGAATGTCTGAATGTTCATGGGGAGAAAAAGAGTTCATTTACTTTTTATGCTTGCTGCTCCGGAGCTTAGGAAACCTTGGGCAGCCTGAGGAGTGACATTGGACTGTTAGCTGTGTAGATGGTGTGTGAACATTTCTAACTTAATTTACCGATGAATGTATGTTGAGCTTGCATTAGCTAAGTGTTAAATGGCAATAAAGGTATTAAGAGTTAATGGAAAATGGAGTACAGAGAGGCTATTGCTTTTGAATAGTACATTTTTGAATAATTGTGTCCCCGGTTGATTTGTTTTTATAGATCTCTTCCATGTCATTCTGTGTGCTTTTTGAAGTAAATTTTTGTGAGGAACAGATGAAATCTAATTTTCTATATGGCTTGCATTTAACAGATATTTTATTGCTGTGGCATTTAATGTAAGTTATTAATTGCAAAGCACATTATGATGTGCAATACTAACTCTAACTAATTTGATTACCCTTGCAATACAGTACAATTTTAGAAAACTCTTGTTATGTAATAAGATCTTGCAGTTGTGAGGGGAAAAATCCCACCCCAAGCTGCTTGAGCACTGCATTTTCACTGATGTACTTAAAAACACAGTGCCCTATTCTAGTGCTATACAGACTTGGAACAGTGTACTGTCCTTCTCCAGCACTGCTGCTGAATGGTTTGGAAAGACTACCCATAAAGATGACTGTATTTAGAAATATTATCAAGAGTGATTAACCTGTCTCAGTTACAGTCTTAACATGGGTTCTGAGGGCACTGTGTGTCTAGCCAAAAACCTGCTTGTATATTGATGGGTAAATGTGGTGAGCTGCAGAGGTGTATGCTCCTTTCTTTTTCAGAGACCATAGATGGAAAGACAGTCTGATGATGTGGGTACCAACTTGGGACTTGACAATTGCAGTTCAATTTTCTAGTTTAAAGCTTTCTGAATAATCTCTGAAGTTCATGTTAGGCTTTTGTGGAACTGAGCAGTAGTCCACATGAGCCAAAGTTGCTTCTCTGTAAAACAGGAAGAGCACTGCAGTCCAGTGTGATGAGGATAGTGTTTCATCCAGGAATTGCTGAGATGCAATAGTATGGCCATAGGGGTATTGAGATAGGGAGATTAAGCAAGATGACAAACTGTTGTATTCAATGAACGCTCTCATGCATACTTAAATGTAAAAATCAACCAGATTCATACATACACATTGTCATGATTTTGGGGGAAAATGTTCTTCTACAGAAGAATGCTCTACTGAGGAAACACAGCTTACTGCAGAAGTATTTTTGTTTCTGTGAACCTTTCTTCCTGATGGGGCCTCTGTTGAAAAAAAGAATTTACTGTCTTCATCTACCTGTGCAGCCCCTCGTGAGCTGGGAAAGGCCTAAGTTCAAGTCCAGGCTCTGTCTGATTCAGAGCAAGGCATTCCTTGAGCCTGGGAATTCAGGACATTGCGCAAGAGATGTAAATCTCTTGTCCATGTCCTAGCTGTTAGGTGCAGCAACAGTTACTGACTTTTGCGGTTCTGACTTCAGTAGAGCAGTAAGAAGTCACAGAACAGTTCCACACTGCTCTTGAAAGCAGAGGTCTTGTCTTTTGTTTTCCAGTGATGAAAATTATGTTATTAAACAATTTAAATCCAGATCTTGGCTCATATTGAGATGTAGTGTAGAGTACCAATGACAAAGTTTCTTTATTTGTCATTCATTACATCTGCTCTCATCCTTCAGGGTGTGCTGATGGTTGGTCCTCCTGGCACTGGCAAAACAATGCTAGCAAAAGCTGTTGCTACAGAATGTGGAACGACATTCTTCAATGTGTCTTCCTCTACACTGACATCTAAATATAGAGGCGAGTCTGAGAAGCTGGTCCGCCTCTTGTTTGAAATGGTATGTCCTCGATGATGTGATCTGGGGATCACCAAGGTGAGAAAGGGCATCACTCTTGGTTTCCTGCCCTGCCAGTAGCATGTTGGCAGCATGGAGTTCATTGAACTGACACTCCCTCAACCAGTTATAAAAAACATAATCTCTGTCTTTCCATATATGGTATGTTGTTGAGGATTAAGAAGGAAATGGTTCGTCATCTGGGTTCACAACAGCATTTTCCTGACATTTTTATGGAGCTGTGACCTTGACAGAAATTCAGTTCTTACTCGGTTATGGTATAACAGTTCCATAAGAAGTAGTTTTGAAATTGGAAGGGATTTGGAACAGTTATTCTAGAAGCAATACATGTTTTAGTTCCATTTCTGTTATGAGTGATGGTCACAAGCCTCTTGGTGAAGCTATAGGTGCAGTCCCTCATGCAGGGTATGTGAAGGACATGCCTGTGTGGACTTATACTGAAGAGTCATTCACCTCTTTGGGATCCTCACTGCGCTTCAGTAATACTCTCAGTTAAAACCTCTTTCTATTGAGATCAGCTGAGCTCCCTTCTGTCCCTTATGCTTACCCCTCATCAGCAGAAAACCTGAACAAGAAAACTGCCTGGATTGTGATTGTATTCCTTTTCCCCTTTGTGAAACCATTCTGCTGAGGAAAGCCAACCAACACTGAAAGACCCCAGGAGTACAATTTAAAGTGTATAAACTTCAGCATATGACAGACAGTTTGTAAATCAAGATCTGGAATTCTTTTCTTGTGACAGGCAGGGAAGATACGTATGTAGTATGTCTAGTGGGACTGGGTTGTGGTCTGATGAGGGCCTGTGCTTGCTGCTGCAGCCTTAATAGCGATGTTTTCATTTGAATACAGGCACGGTTTTACGCTCCAACAACAATCTTCATCGATGAGATAGATTCCATCTGCAGCCGCAGAGGCACATCTGACGAGCACGAGGCCAGTCGCAGAGTCAAGTCAGAGCTGCTTGTGCAGATGGATGGTAACGAGTGCTTAGATCCGGGTTTGGGGCTAGGCTGCTGTTTCTTTACAGGTGGGAATGTAAGAACTTGAGCCATCTGGAAAACTTGGCTTTATGGATAGGGGAAAAATAAGTCAGAACTTGAGACTAGTGTATATTTGGGATGTTCAAAGGCAGGTGAGTGAAAAGGGTGTTCTGCTTTGTTTTTTTCTAAAATGGTTATTTTTTTAATGGTGAGTTGAAAACTCATGTTAAAGAGAGACAGATGCTAGAAGCATATAATGGCGATTTGTGCAGTTTAATGCATGTATTTAATTTGTATTCAACTTAAACAAATTTCTCCCCTTTGCTAGAGTCTCCAGGTCTGGAACCCCATTGTGAGACCTGATTTTGCTGTGTTCTATGGTGGCAGCTAATATTACCCTTTTAAGTCAGATTTAGTACCTGTTTTCCGCAGGTGCACACAATGAGGATGATCATCTGAGCAGTGTTGTACGGTATAGAGGTTTGACAGCCACTTTTGTATTGCAGCTATTGTGTAACTGCTATTTATATTGTTCTCAAATTTGCAGGTTCATTGTGGTAAACTCAGGGTAGGAAACTTTTCACCCCAAAGTGTTAATTTATTTGCCCCTAAGTGTTAATTTATTTGCAGTCCTCATTTGGTAAGCTGAGGAGTGATTCCTATTTCTTCTAATAGCCAGATTTGACAGAGGTAACACTGTCAGTGGGACTAGTAGGGCTACAGTCACATGTGGCTGTGTCATTAGCACTGCCAAAGAAAGCCCTCCCCTGACTCAGCAAAAGAATGAACTGTCCCTCTCTCTGTGATAATGATGATCTTGTGACACTTAAGCTATGAGAAGTTTGGAAAGGAGCACTAAGGACTATGCAGGGCTGTTGCTTAGCTTTGTCCAGACTTTTGCAATGTTTGTCCATGCAGTGTTTCTCAGCAAGCATCTCGATGAATAAGCTGTGGACTGAAATTGCTCTGAACTGTTATGCTTGCAGGGGTAGGTGGTGCTCTGGAAAATGATGACCCTTCCAAGATGGTTATGGTATTATCTGCTACAAATTTTCCCTGGGATATCGATGAAGCTCTCCGACGGAGGCTGGAGAAGAGGATTTATATACCTTTGCCCACAGGTATGTTTGCTACGACCATTTTCCTTTCAAATGATCTTTGGAAGATGAGTTTAGGATTACTGCAGGACAGTTAGTTTTGTGAGAAATCTTGATGGTTTTGTGATGAGCAGTGAAATTCAGGGGTTAATCATTTGTCTGGGTCACTTTCTTTTCAAAGAGAGTGAGAGAAAGAAAAAAAATACTACTTGCTTGGGGGCATAAAAACAAAAGAGCTGCAGCATTTCACTGCAAGCCCATTGATGGGTTCTTACATTTTGAAAGAGAGTTACTTTTAATGAGCCTGGAATTATTTTAAATGTTTAGCAGTCAGTCCATGAGTGATCATCAAAGGCAGCCTTTGGACATGTTCACAAGTATTGCAAATGCACTCCATGCCCTTGCAGACAAATGCAAAGAAGTGGATCCATGAATTTTCACTTAGAGGCTTAGTTCATTGTAAATCACTGCTTGCTCGCCTTTATTACTGTGCTTTGAGTCACTCAGAATGCAGCAGGCTGATTGCTTCCCTGCCCTCAGACGGCTCAGCTTGTATTGTCTTTCCTAGCTGTCATTCACCTGTCCTATTAATTTTGAGATTCCTATCACTTGAAGTTTGCGTAGCTTCCTTTCTTCTTGGTACAGTGGATGCCTCATCTCCCTGCATGAGCACTCAAGATAACAAGATGCATGCTGGTGGTGACGGCAGTTGCGAGTGAGTTTAGCAGGTCTAAGGACACCTAATAGTTCTACAGCTTGTCTTTGCAGCTTACAGGCAGTAACAGCTCCTAACAGGATGCCTGTCTTTATGACCAATTAGTTTAAAATCCGATCAGCTCTTCCTCTTGTTTCTAATTAAACCAGATTGGTTTTTGACACAGTGTATTACACCCTGGACAACATAGAAGGTGGGATTCGGTTTTATTTCCAATCTTACGTTCTGTTGCATCTATTCTGTAAATAACAACGTTGTGCTGTTCTGGGCAAGTCTGAATGATGCATTTATAACTGCTGTGATGTGGTCAGACATTTTAATTGAAAAAGTCATATAATATGCCATATATACATCTGTATATTGTGGAATTTGATGCAAGCATATATTCTGTATTGTTTCATTTTCAAAATACTGCAAAAACTTGCTTAGCCCCATAGCAGTGATTAAGAGAATGTTCTCTGATGCAGGACACACTCTGCAGGTATGCTGTATGCACGTTTTGCTCTGCAAATAATAAATCCCCATTTTATAGCTAGTGCCAGTTGTGTGTGATGGAGAAGTCTATGCTCTTGACAGTTCTGCAGAGCACGCAAAAACAGCAGCTTTAGGCAAGCTTTCTATTTTTTTTTGTATTTCCCCTCCCTCCAAGATAAAATAAATAATAATAATTAGGGACATCAATAAATAAAACATAATGTGTTTTATTAGACATATCCTTAAGACTTTTAGCCTTTGCTACTGCGGCTGCTTCTGTTGTGGTTGTCCTTTTCTCTAGGTCATAAAAATTGGTCACTGGGGGAATAAAGATGCTGAGCTGGCATATTTTTCTGTACAGTAAAAGCCAGGAAACCATTTGTCCTGTTCTTTACCACCCTTGTGCAGAGTAACACTGAGGCCTAAGCTGTCAAATGTGAATTCCCTCTTACAAGCTTAACCTGCTTAACATATGTACCCAAATGCACATGTGCACATGTCCTCTGCCAGAAGAATGGTTAACTGGCTGCATAACTGCTCGTTTACACAGCTGGTTATCACTGTGTGCACACTGCATCTGGGTATGAAAGTGGGATATCAGGACATTTGTATTGTAAATATATTAATATATGTTTGCTGTATTAATATATCTGTTTTCTATTGGGTTTCAGCAGCTTTCTTGGGTCCCAACTGCGCAAACTGCTTAAACATATGCTTAAAGTTCAGCCTATTGTTAAGTGGGTTTTGCTGTCTGAAGCTCTGTTAGTAGAATCCTCATTTGTGGTTCTAATGAAACTGTGTGAGTAAAATGCAATCAGATTCTTGAACAGCAAGTGAATCCAAAGGGATGTGAGAAGAAGCAGACACTTGTAGGATTGTGCTTTTATGCCCTTGGGTAGTATGTGACCAAATACTTTATCACCTGAGACATAACAGACATTTTTAATGACATATGACTTTGCAAATGTCTCTAAACCATGCTGGTTTAATATGCTGCATTTAACCGTATACTTTATCTGATTGCACTCTTTGCTGTGATTTGTTAGCTCCGTTTTCTTACATTGAACTCTTTTGTTTGTACTTTTCACTGAAAAATCTAAGTTGTGTTTGTATCTTTTTTTAAATATAACTCTTGCAAGTCTTCAAACAAGTATTTTTATGTTCTAGCAAAAGGCAGAGCAGAACTACTTAGGATTAATCTTCGTGAAGTAGAACTGGATCCAGACATCAGCCTTGAAGAAATTGCTGAGAAGATTGAAGGCTATTCTGGTGCTGACATCACTAATGTTTGCAGGTATCTCATTCCCCTTAATTTGCAAATAAAACTGCATCAAAAATCATAATTTTCAGTACCCACTACAGCTAAAGCCATGCTAAGTGTCTGTGTTTGAGGCCCAAATCTATTTACTGGAATCATGTATGACTGTCATGTGGAGAGGTCTAAAGACTATGGAGTTGTTCTGTGAGATGTGGTTTTCTTGGATCTGAAGAGAAAAAAATTCTCTGAGCAAATTTCATGTTACTGTTGGCTGCATTTACTGTAGTTGCATTTGTTAATGTAGTGCAAAACAGGCTTGGATATTTTTTTTTAAAAATTCCATTAGCTTAAGAGCTGGAGTTTTGTGATGCAAAAAAATTCCTTCCACAGAATCATAGAAGCAGTCAGGTTGGGAAAAATCTCCCAAGATCATCAAATCCAACCCTATCATGGTTACTAGACCATGGCACTAAGTGCCACATCTAGTCCCATCTTGAAAACCTTCAGGGATGGTGAATCCACCACCTCCCAGGGCAGCCCATTCCAATGTCTGATTACTCTCTCCATAAAAAAATCTCTTCCTACTATCCAACCTAAACCTCCCCTGGCAGAGCTTGAGTCTGTGCCCTCTTGTCCTACTGCTAGTTGCCTGGGAGAAGAGACCAACCCCCACCTGACTACAACCTCCTTTCAGGGAGTTGTAGAGGGTGTAGAGGCTCTTTGGGGCTTCTTATGTGCTGTTTGGACAGCCCCCAGTGCAGCACGGTCTTGGTGTCTGCCTGAATCTTCTAGGTGCAAGGGTGATAGAGATAGTTTCTAGCATTATTATTTAATTAATTTCCATCCTGGTCCCACAGTTTGTTTCATTTTTGACAAACAAGTCTTTTCTGGGGGAGGACAGATATTTGAGTAAACTTACTGAAAGGAAGTCTATAGTCTATGTCCTTTAAGAGCTGTGTCAAGAGAAACTGCTCCTATAATACTGTGGCTTGGGATTCCCCCCCCACCCCCTGCTTTTCTGGAAATGTGAAATCATTCCAGGGTTCTGAAAACTTGGTGTGTGTCACGTAGTATAGTGAAATTACCTGTTCTGTCTAAGGCCTGTGTTAGTCCTTGCTGGGAAAAAACCTGGGGAAAGAGAAAATGTAATTTCAGACTTCCTGTGGGCCATGGTGTGAGAAAATGAGCAGTGGGCTGTGCTGGCAGTATCCAAGCTGGGGAGGGAGTTGTAGACAAGGTGGAGCTTGAAAAGCCACAAGCAGCAATGGCCTCAGCAACGCCTCCTGCTCTGCTCTTTACAGAGTCAGGTGCTATGGGAAAAGAGGCAACTGAGCTGGGCTGCACCCCAAGCACTTGCTGACTGTCCTTTGGGGCTACACTGGGAAGAAAGTTGAAACCTAAGAGGAATGGGGTGTAAAAATCCAGACTACTTGAAAAAAATAAAGTCTTTAAGTGCAGTTCATCTCTCACCCTGCCCTTTCCTGCACTGAAGTGGTAAAATTTCATATCTATGAATCATTGTAAAAGATTTTCAATTTTTTGTAGTTTTAATTATCTCTTCACATTTACCATATGCTTAAATGGGTTTTGGTGCCAATGCATTCTTTATGTTGAATTAATGTAGTGATCCGGGAACATGGAGGCTAAGAAAGATGTGAACTGCATCTTCTGTGGTAAATAAATGCTCTTTTAAGCATTCCTACCAGTGGTTTCTAGCAAGAGAACACAATCAAAATTCATAGGCTTACAGCACATGCTGCTACCGATTAGCTCCCATACGTTGTCCTGTATTTCCAGGGATGCATCTTTAATGGCAATGAGACGACGTATTAATGGCCTAACTCCAGAAGAGATTCGTGCACTTTCTAAAGAGGAGCTTCAGATGCCTGTTACCAAGGGGGACTTTGAGCTGGCTCTGAAGAAAATCTCCAAATCTGTTTCTGCTGCAGACCTGGAGAAGTATGAAAAATGGATGGCGGAGTTTGGATCTGCTTAAGCTCAGTGACAGTTCTCCTTTGCTGGAGTTTTATGGCTTTTGTTATTCTCACATGCAAAACGAGTTAGAAATCTTTCTAATGGCTTAATAAAAGGTCTGCCTTTGCCCTCATCCCACCCCCTTCTGGTGACAAGATCTTTTAAACTTTATTTGCCTTTAAAGGGAATGAACAGAATAATGAGCTGATACTGTAAAAGATATTTTATCTCTGAAATAGTAAAATAAGACTATCAGGAAGGGGAATATGCTACTTGTGAGGGTAATCTTTTTATTTTTCAAATGAAGAGCAGTGTTACTTAACTTCCTCATTGTCATCTTTCATGTCTGGAATAAATAAATCAGCTGGGGGATGTGACTCCCGAGGAAGAGACAAGGGCTTACTGTACACCCTGCTCTTAAGTGCTACATTTCTGTTGAGCTGCTTCTGCCTTCCTTGAATGTGGCATCCAAGTTACTATTGTCTCTCTCTGTGCTTGGATAGTCAGAGCAAAGCCTGTGGATTAATTGGCATTACATAGAGGAAATGAGAATCAGTTTTCCATCAAGACATGGGCTTGGCTCTCCTCTCACGTACATCCATTTGGAATGGATGTCACTTCAGACTGGATTGGTGTTACCTGTGTGGACTTCTGATGGAAATGAGAGTACAAGAAAAAGGCATTGATTGCTCTCAGTCTGGTTTATGCTTCATCTCTGAACTTAGTTTGACCCGTAGACACTTTGAAGTTTGACTAGTAGGCACTGACCTTGCACTTTTATGCTTATATATCATCCTATACGTTGTCTGTGCTATTTAGATGTGGTTATTGTTATTATTTAAGTACTAAGAGTTAAATGCAGTAAAGACACTAATATCAAGGCTGTCTTTAAAATGCAAGACTGTCCTTAAAACACGTGGCTGTGAACTTCCACTTCTTCTGATATGAACTGAATATATGAACTGTTTCCTAGCTTTACTAGGCAATGGGACTTACACTTGTTTGTGTTGTAGAACTGTTCATGCTTAATTTTTTAAATGAAAATTTCTTAAAAATATATAAATATTACTGATTTATTAATGTTGGAAAATAATCTGAATGTTCTGATGTAATTTATGTTCTGAACTGTGTCTTCCCTCATACAAGTGCTGGGATGAGAAGGGTTGAGTTATAAACTCTAGCAAGAGAAATCCTGCCTAGAGTATAAATGTCACGCTAACTATATGAAATTTTCACAGGCTCGGGCTGCGAGTCTGACATATGAAGGTTTCCTGTGGTAGGAACGTGAAGGAGCAGTCAAATGATGAAATTTACAGAGGAATATGCAAGCAAATTTTTTGTGATTTTGTGAGCAAGGCCTGAAGTGTCTTGGTGGATGTGAATTGCTGTGCAGTTTGGTAGGTATTCTGCCCTTTGGCTCTCTGATGAGACTCCTAGTGGCATAGGTAGATGTGACAGACTAGAGTAAGAAGGAGATGACACCTCCTCTCGAATGGGAATATATCCTTATTTGATCCTTTTTACTAGTTCTTTGAAGTTCCCAATAATGTCAGTAATTCAGCACACTGGTTTGGTTTTTTTTTTGGCCATGACATACGAAACACTAAGGCAAAAACCTTAAATCACATACTTACCTATTTTGCTCAGGAAAGTGGTGGAATCACCATCCCTGGGAGTGTTCAAAAAACATGTAGATGTGACACTTGGGGATGTGGTTTAGTGGTGAACACTGGGTTAACAGTCGGACTCTTATGATCTTAGAGGTCTTTTCCAACTTTAGCAATCCCTCCCAGGAAATAACTGGACCTTTACAGAGAGAAAGCTTTGAAAACATTGCTATGGTCTGTCATTTCTTCCTTATTGGAGCTGTAGGCTGCAGCAGTTATTCTTTGTTCACTTATTTGTTTAACTGCAGTAGAAATTAGTAAAGCTATGCAAATCTTTCATGACCAATGCCAGATTAGCACTACTATGCTAGAGAGGCCACTGCTGCCCAAGGAGCTTAGTCTACACAAGCAAGATGTAGAAGGAAATAGATATGAATGCCAGTAACCAATCCTATTCAGCTGCTGGAATTCAGCAGGTGCTGCTTAGGGTCTAAGTACCACTTTCCTTGGTTTCACATTGCAAGCAGCAGTGCCCTTCCTACTGTTGAAAGCACAGCACTTGGAGAAAATGTTGATCCTGAGCTCTTTGATGAACCTTCTGCCTTAAGGCATTAAACTTGCCTGTTGGCTGTTAAACCAAATTCACTGTACTGAGCATCCGATTTAGTAGGAATTATTTAGGTGCTACAGTCTTTTTCTCTAAAGGTCACAATTCCTACCCCAGATACATTTTTACTGTACAGGTCAACTCATCCTTTACAGCTGCAGAACATAGAAAAGTGAAGTTTTCAGGCAGTAGAAGTTTATGATGGTTGTGCCCCAGCATTACACCTGGGACTTGGGCCCTGCTAGATCACACTCCCTGGGAGACTGAGACCAATCCCTTCCCTGCTGAGACCTTTCAGGAAAGGGATTTGGCCCCGTGTGCTCGCCCTTACATCTTTACCAAGTCATGCTGGTGCATTCACCTAGGTGGGCTCAGAGACTGGGTTATTAACTTGAGGGGAGCCAGCACTGAGGTGCAGCAAGGAGCAACCCAAGAAGGAAAGGCAGGCCAACAGTGGCAGCAGGTCAAGGCTCAAAGGATGAGCTTACAGCTTAATGTCAGTGGTGGAAACCCTAGTGTGAGGGTGTTGGATTCCTTGGAGAGCAATGTACGAGCATATCATACCCTGCAGTGACAGTGTGTTCAGTCTGCGTCTGTACATGTATGGAGGTCATGCACACACATGTGGAGGTGTACATACACACACACCATGTGTGGTGCTTCTGTGGTTGTACCTAAGTCGCATCAAAAACATGTTTTAAAGCTGTGTTTACATGTGTTTCTAAACATCTGTGAAGGCCCTCTTGGGTGGCATTGTAAATTTTTGTACAATACCCAGTCTGGTTGTATGAAGTAATAAATGTACGTGTAGAGTCTGTCTCGCTTGAGTGGGGCTGCGAGTGCTTTGGTGGTAGCTGTTTCCAAAGGCTGCCATACAATGCAGATCTCTTCAGTATGTCATGGTGCTGTTGGAGTCACCAAAGTCCTGGTTGAATTGCAGTTAAAGCAGAGTCTGTTTTTTTTTGATAACGCTGTCAGCACTGCTTTCTCTTTAACTGACCTTTTGTTGCCACAAGCTATAAAATGGAGAATGCTCCAATGCTCAGCACATGGACGGAGGGTGGGGGAGAGGAGAGCAGAGGCATCAGCAGATGTTCAGTGTTAGCACCTGATTCAGACCACACAGATTCAGACAGGCTTTTCTATTACTTGCCTCTAGGCTGGAAGTATAATCAGGCTCCAGAGAAGCTGTATCATCAGCTGCTTGCTAGCAGGAGACTTTTAAGAGCAAAACTTCTGTTAGGAAGGAGCTTTCAAACTTGGAAAGAAGAGACCCCCACATCTCCTGGGACTGAGTTGATTATTTGAATTTTCTCAGTAACTTTTTTTTGAAATAATGTGTAGTTTTCAGTGTTTCATAATGCCTCAAACATGAAAGAGTGAGCAAGGGAAATTGCTGATCAGGGGATTTCAGGAGAGGTCAAATCTTTGCATAGAAAGTTCAGCTCACCTCAGTTTAAAAGAGACTGAAATAGCAAAGGTGCACTGACTTGTTCTGATCATGGGAAAGATGAAAGAGCTTGTGTGTTGTAAAGACGTCCTCCATCAAGAGAGCAAAGACTTCACTGTACAGTCCAGGCACAAGGAGATGGAAGCAGCAGAATAAATAGTGAATTTTTTTTGGTCTGTTTTTGGACTAAACCACCCTGAATCAGATTGTGGATTGAAATTTTTATCAGGTCTGTAGTGACAGAGGAACACGTAGGTAACACTGTGCTGCCAGGGAGCAAGCAGGGAACCTGGGAGTGCCAGAGCTACACGCTGGTGTACAGTGGTGTTAGCACCGCAGCGGCAGCTGAGCCCGATCTGTGTGAGCTGCCCACCAAGCAGCACTGTAGGTGCAGAGTGGAGCCAAACCAGGCGGGAATAGTCTCAGTCACCTGTGTTCAGAGCCTGATTGCCATACAAGCTATAGTTACCAGCAGCAGCAGCAAGTGATATTCCTGCTTCCCACAGCAGTCTGCTTGCGAAGCCAGCCTGGTTTTGTACACTGGTCATGACCTGATCTTGTGACCCACTTACCACATACATGGTTGTTCAGTACCTCTAATAGAGGAGCTTCTTTTGTGCAATACAGACCTGTCTTTTTGATCAGCTAAAGCACCATGCTCCTACCTGTCTGCACCTAGGTGTAATGGAAGATTCAGGCAATTTTCCTCTTCTTTAGAATGCCCCAGCTAGCATTTAAAGCAGATGGGATGAGATGCCTTGTCTATGCTGCATGCCCAGTGCAAGAACACTTACCTCAACAGCCATGGAGGTGCCACAAGGAAAGATCTGGCTTTGTTATGAAGAGGCAAAGTGCAGGGATGTTCTCATTCCCACTGCACGGGTACAGTTAGGATTGCATTGTGGCCAAGCTTTATTTTTTGGCTTTTGTGTATTTGTGATTTCTTTGTTGCAGCAGGAACATTTTTCTTGAAGTTAGGAGGAAGCTATGGGGTATTTGCTCACTGTCTGGGTTAGGATTTTGGAGATCCCATGATCTGGTTGGTAATTGAAGCTGCTGAGCCCATTCCCAGCACACTTACTTTTGAAGGAAAGCATCATGCATCCTGCCTGACTGGCTGTCCAGTAAGCAGTGTAGCTTTGTGCAAAGTCACTTAAATATAATATTTAGAATATTTGTTTGACAAAGAGAGGAATTCTTGTTGCCAGTTTGCATCTGACTTGCTCTCATTTGTAAGCAGCCCTTTGCATATGGTGTTCAACTGATGTAAAAGAAACTGCCTTGGAAGTAAGAGTCTTTTGAACCTTGGAGAACAAGAAAGGTAGAAAAATATTTGCCTAGAGGAAGATACCAAAGTACCCAAAACATTGAGAACTGCAATTTCTTCTTTTTGTGGCTTTCTTTTTTGTCTAGCAGTTGCACTGCTGGGTTGTGCTTTCTGTTTCCAATTTGTTTTGAAATAATTGCCATTGTTTATCCATCTCTCAGACAGCCTTTGCAGATGATGTGGTTCCACAGAGCCCTCTTTTGCTTAACGGTTGGTGTTCTTGCACA